TCGTTCAGCGTCAGTTACCATGACGATGTACCCCGGTAAGAAGTGAACCACTGTCGTAGGACTGAAAACCCAGGATTTAACCTGAAGTTACCTCGCTAACCCCAAATCCTGCTTCATAGTACAGGTCCCAGGAAGGAGGGAGGGGAGAGGAGAGAAGAGGAAAAAAACAAGACCAACTCAAAAACAGTAAAGGAGTTAAATTAACCAGTGTTTAATACAAACAACCAAAAATTAGAGATATAAATACATATAAATATGTGTAGCAAAACAATTATTACCTAACAGCCCCTTAGATTTGTGTGTGACTGTGACCTTGTACATGGTCTGCAACAATGTGTAGTAGGTGGTATGTGTCAAAGTAACATCCACATGGATGCCAGAACCCAAGGTTTCCCAGCAGAACATTGTATTGTAATGAGATGATCTGTGTTATTCACTTTATCCGTCAGTGGCTTTACTGTTGTTGGCTCATGTGTATGTCCCAGTCACTGTTCATGCACACTGGAATGTTTCGACACACTGCTATCACATACTGACAAGAGCCTGAACTGATTTTCCTTCTATAAAAGGTAAACAAACAGAAATGTAAAGTTTATGAATCTCATCATGTGTTTGAAACATTTAAAACATTGAAACTTTCCTTTTGTCATTATGTTAGAGATGCAAATTAGTTAAGTATATTTTTCCTTAGATGTGCATTTCTAAGTATTTCCCATTTCCGTCTATTTATTTCTTAACTTGTGATGGTGAGGATGAGGGGTGTGGTTGGGGTAGGGATAGCAGGATAGCAGATGGAAAGTGGAATACACTGGCTTCACCTTTCACATTTGGTGGCCTCGTGCATACAGTCTGCGGACGTGTTAAGTATTCTTTCAGCAGCCATCCGTTCATGGGAACTTGGTGGCACCATCCTCATACTCAGAGGATGGGAGGTAAGAGGTCATTAGGGGCCCACGGCAAATTTTTGCTCAGGGCCCCACAACAGCTTAATTCAGCCATGATAAACTACCACCAGTG